TGTAAATATGTCAACTCAAATTTGATTTTAACCCATTTTAGCGGACACTGCTGTTAGTAGAACCAGAAATATTAAGTAAAAAATGCGTTTATTTTATCCTAGGGGAAGAAATTCAGCATTTTTTCTTACACTCTCTAAAATACCTATATTGCAGATACGAGGTTAAGGCAGAAACGGGACGATATGTAAATAAAGCAGCAGTTAATTTTATTTAAAGAAATGGCGTGTCGTCCATTTCCGTTGTAGCATGACATATATTTAGGCGCAATATTTAACTTCTTCTGTCGCGGCGACATCTGGAGTCTTCTAATTCTTACAACGAAGTTCATATCTAGACTAGGTTGATATCTAGAATTTGCCACAAATAGCTTTGCTACACTATCGCCGGCAGCTTTAACAATTTTATAGTGGTTTTACGTTCTTTGGCAAATTACGCTCTGTTAGCCATAAATCTTATTATTTTTTGACCGCCTTTGAATCAAGATCCCTGGACCATATGGGGAATTCATTTATATTTTAAATTGCATTGTCATCGTGATTGGAACTATGCTGAAAATTTCAAGTCTCTAACTTGTCGGGAAGTTAGTTTAAAATCGATTGGAAATTTCCGCGATTTCCGCGGGATGACCAAGTTAAATAAAAGCTTATAAAAAAGAACCTTTTCCAGCTTCAGGCAGGCGCAAAGTGAAACTTATGTACAAGCAGCGCTGCGCCCAAATCGAAATTCATGTATGTATGTACAAGCAGAGAACTTAGATAGATAGAGAAGGTGCAAATTTTTGGAACGTAAAATTGTTTGTCTGAAAAATAAATCCATGGAATACCACCACATTGAGATTAACATTTGAACACGAGTTAACAGCAAAAAACTTTAATATTTTGTTATGATAATGTTATGTTATGTTGCAAGTGCCTGGCTGTGTTGCTAGGTTGCTGGTGAATGCAGAAACATATTCATGTATATGTTTTTATAAAATTAAATAAATTAGTTAGCATTTCGGATCTTCATATATGCATGGCCATTTGTTAAATATAATTTATTGAGTAGTTAATATTGCTTTAACGACATAAAAAAATCTAAAAACTGAAAAAGCATGTGTTCAAGTTCGCTTCTTGTACGAGTATATAGTATATGTATATATCAGTGATGGGCACACCTGAATACTTTTGTACTTAAAGTGCCACTTTGGGTACTAAATACACAAATACTTAGTATTTTGAGATGACTAAATATTCAAGTAAAAAGAACTTAGGTATTTAGGAGCTGCTAAATACCCAAGTACTGTTTACTTAGGTATTTAGGAGCTGCTAAATACCCAAGTAAACAATACTTAGGTATTTAGGTGGTGCTAAATACTTAAGCAAAGAGTATTTAGGTATTTAGGAGCTATTAGATATTAAAGTAAGAACAACTTGAGTATTTAGGAGCTGCTAGATACCAATGTACAAAAAACGAAAGTATTTAGCAGGCGCTAAATACTCTGGTCCAAAGTACTCAGGTACCTTGGGGATGCAAAATACTTTCACTAAAGTACCAAGGTATTTAGTCGATGGCTAAATACTTTCAAACTAAATACTGTATACTTTAGGAGAAATTTAGAGAATTAACACCTCACCTTACACTCACCTCAACTTACCTTACCACAACTCACTTCACCTCTCCTCAAATCAACTCACCACATACAAACTCACTACACCTCACCTAAACTCACCACACCTCCTACTGGTACACCAAAATCCGCCAAATCTTAACTCCCCACAGTTGAACTCATCACACCCGTTCTCACCACACCTCACCTAAACTCACCACACCTCAATTTGGGAACTGTTTCTGCATTTGAGAGATTCGTCAAACTAAATCAGGATTTTCAAGACTATTTCGGGGTTTTCGGGACTATTTTGGGATTTTCGAAGCTATTTCGTAATTCTTTAGGGATTCCCGGAAACTTTGTTTGAGATTTTCGGGATTCTCGGAACTAATATCGGGATTTTTAATTTTTGGGACTTTCGGGACTATTTCCAGATTTTTGGGACTTATTTCGGATTTATGGGGTTTTCGGGATTCTCGGGAATAATTTCGGGACTGTTGGGACTTTCGGGACTATTTAGGGATTTTTGAGGCTCCCGGGATTATCGGGAGTAATTTAGGTATTTTTGGGACTTTCAAGACTTTTTTAAAATTTTTGGGAGTTATTTAGGATTTTTGGAACTTTCGGGTCTATTTCGAGATTATCGGGAGAAATTTAGGTATTTTTGGGACTTTCGGGACTAATTACAGAATTTTGGGACTTATTTCAGATTTTTGGAACATGCGGGTCTATTTCGGGGTTGTCGGGAGGAATTTCGGAATTTTTGGGACTTTCGAGAGTATTTAGAAATTTTTGGGACTAATTTAGGAACTTTGGGGCTTTCGGAACTATTTCAGGATTTTTGGTATTTTCGGGACTATATCGTAATTCGCGGAACTGAGTTTGCGATTTTTGGGACTAATTTCGGGACTTTTGGGGCTTTCGGGATCGATTTTTTTGGGACTTCTTTCGGAATTTTGAGACTTTCGGGACCATTTCGGGGTTTTAAGGAGTTTTTCGGGATTTTTGGACTAATTTCGGAATTTTGGGACTATTCCTCCATTTTTGGGAATAATTTAGGAATTTTTGGACTTATTTCGGATTTTTGGAACTTTGAGGACTATTTCGGGGCCATTTAAGAATTTTTGGGACTCTCGGGACTATTTCGGGAGTAATTTATGTATTTTCGGGACTTTCGAGACTATTTTCAGATTTTTGGAGATTT